TGTAATCAGTTGGTTTGGGTTTTGTTTGTTTTTAATGGATGACCTATAAACTGTGATTTATCACCACCTGCTGAGTCTTTATGTTAACTGACCAGTCTGAAGAAAAATGCAATGCTAAGGTGAACCTGAAGGAACTGAAAATAAATGTTGAACAGTAACATTTCCTTTAGTTTGAAAGGAAATGGCAAAGGAACTAAAAGACACATTCCAGCATGATACTTTAATATGTTTCTTAATACTTACGATGTTCTGTGGCTTCTTTCTACTCTGTTTCCAGTGCTAAGACTCTTGAAATAGTCTTCAGGTTGAGGCACTAACCTGCTTTGTGGAGGATTTATGTTTCCTCAATGGTTCTTTACAAAACCATGGTTTAGTTGACTTCATAGGAGATGGAAGTAGTGTGAGTTAAAACTGCCTGACAGTTCTTACCGGTTTGGACTGTGCACTCAATGATAGCAAAATTGAAGGGAGAGACCTAGGAAGGATGGTTAGAAGTGGTGATGGACACACCCAGCAGCGTGTATTTGGGATGTGGACCTGCTGCTGTGCCTTACACTAGTTTTGGCTGCCGTTTGGGTGACCTCTTTCTGTAAGCTTTCCTCTCTCGTGTGCCCTTTCTTGCTGTAGTCATTTTGGCTCCTGCTTTATGGAGTGGAAGGTAATCGGTCACTTCACTGCCAAATTTGATTTTGAGTGGGTCATTTCAGTTGGATGCAAGTTGCTATGTGATGGTGGTTCGCACGATGCTGACTGCACACAGACCAAGGCTGCTGCTTACAGTCAGAATAGAGGCACCAGTGCACAAAAAGAAGAAGGTTTTAAAATTGTACTGTTAAGTTGAATTTAAAATGCACATGCAAAGGTTTGCTTTTTCTTCAAGGAATTCTCTAGCTAATTGTAGTGAAGGATGAACTCTTACATAAAAATTGTCAGTATGTGTGGCTGGCCTGAGTGTTTTGTAGAGCCAACATGGGTAGAATGCTTACTGTTGTATGTTTAAGTCAGACAGGTCTGCCTGCTCTGAAAGGCTCACTTCCTACCTGGTTTTTGTGGTGGTGCAGTCTCTGGTCATGTTTCCTATGCAGACAGCAGCACATGGAACCTGTCCAGCAGCATACTCTTTACTCTTAATGCCTGATTGTATTTACATTGAATTAGAGCATTTGTAGGTGAACTTATTTCTGTCTGTCCTCATGACTTTGATACATTTGTAAAGGTCAACTTGTTACTGTTCATAAAAGGGGAAGAAAATGCAGGTGCGGCCCTTCAATTTAACACATCCCGCCATTTCTGGGGGGTTGCGGACCCATTTGAGGTAGTCCAGAGGAGGCCACGGAGCTGCAGCTCTGCTCTGGAGCCAGGCTGAAAGAGCTGGGCTGGTTCAGCCTGGAGAAGAGAAGGCTTCTGAAGGGGAGATCTTGGAGCAGCTCCAGTGCCTAAAGGGGCTCCAGGGAACCTGGAGAGGGGCTTTGGACAAGGGCCTGTAGGGCCAGGCCGAGGGGAATGGCTTTAACCTGCCAGAGGGGAGATTGAGATGAGCTCTGAGGCAGAAGTTGTTTCCTGTGAGGGTGCTGAGGTGCTGGCCCAGGGTGCCCAGAGAAGCTGTGGCTGCCCCATCCCTGGCAGTGTTCAAAGCCAGATTGGACACAGGGGGTTGGAGCTGAATGAGCTTTAAGGTCCCTTCCAATACAAACCATCCTGTGAGTTTTCCTCTAGTTGTCTGCTTTCTTGCACTTCTTTGGCTGCTGTAAGAAGTGAAGCACTGGCTGTGTGCAGCCTGTGCAGGATTTCACCAGGCATGCACTTCTGTGCTGTGCACTGGCTCTAAAGGCTGGCAAATTTTAACAGTGAAGTTAAGGTTCGTGTGTCTGCTGCATCCTGTGGTGTTCCCCAGCTTTCTGCTTTCCTTCTGGACGCACTGCCTATAGCTCAACAGCTCTCTGCTGTCTGCTCTTTCTGATCTTTATAGTTCAGAATCCTTTTGCTCTTAGACATCACATGTTTCAGCACTGTCTTTTAATCAACTAAATGATAGTGTCTGGCACAGGGACAGAGAGAGTCTAAAGCTCCCTCTTTACTATGCTCACTCATGATGCCCAGAGAGATTTTGAGGAACAGTTGAATTGAAAGTGCATTCACTGGGTCAGTGATTGAAGTTTTTGACTATCAACTTCATCAGCTTGCACCTAGAGACTGAAAGAGATCCTAATTTCTTACTCGTGATCATGCATGAAAAAGATTTTCTCTTTTTGTATCCTTTATGAGAATAATTTAATTTTTCCTAATGTAGGCAAGACCCTAGAGTCACACTTGGATCCCACTTGTCTTACTCTAAAACAAGGCTTTAAATAGGTTCCTGCTGTCTGAGGAAAGAAAAGTGGTGATTTCTTCTCTATCACTACTAGACTTCTCCCATGCAGATTATAGCAGATCCTGACCCAGCAGAGGCTTTTAGTTTGAATAGTGAAAGGACACGCACACTCTTAGTATCCTTGCCTGTGGCAGGGGGTTGGAACTAGATGAGCTTTAAGGTCCTTTCCAGCCCAAACCGTTCCATGATTCTATGTTTCGTACTGCTACAGGATCTGCAGTATTAGTTACATCCTAGCCTGTACAGCTTGCCCCAGTTCTGCTGCATGTGCATCCGTCCTCCTCCCAGAGCTACATGGAGTGTCTGGTGTCACTTGACTGCAGGGTGCAGAGAGGTACAGAGATTTTCTGTGCTTTTTAAGTGCCACCTTGGAGAACGAGTCTTGTCATGCACAGAGGTAGGTGATAGTGAATGGACTGTTCACTTGTGCCCCCTAATCTCTTCTTTGTTTTCTGGCTGTTCAACCAAGACAGTTACATCCAAACTTGCAGCAGTGCTCTTATGCTCAGTGTTGCAAATGAAGGGAGTTGACACTGTTCACTGAATGTGTAAAGTGAGATGGAAATACAAAATCCTGAGAGGGACGTTTATGCTGATGATGACTTTGATCTCTGTACCTTTTCCACTCAAAAATACTGTGTGGTAGCATGGCAAAATGAGATTACATGTGCTATTGAACGCTTCTGAAGAAAACAAATACCCTTGAACCTGTTAAAGGTTCAGATAGCATGTGGTGAACCAAAAGCACTCTGAATAACTGGAGGAATAAGAACTATTGAATATTGACCACTAAGTGCCTGGAGGTCATATTCTGTAATACTGTGAAATGAAGCTATCATATATACAAACCCAACTTAACCAAGGTTGCCTAAACCACTGTATGCTGAGCATGCTAGAGGGAAAGTATTGTGGATAACTGGTCAAATGTAAGTAACTTGTTCTCTCCTTTTCCTTCTCTCCTCACATTGCCCCTGGTTCTCTTGCTGGATTGTTGCTGTATCCCTGTGGACTCAAAATCATCATTTTACTGGACTACTTCTGGACCCTCCACACTTGAAATGATGGAAATGTGTTCTTTACAAAGTAGCTGTAAGTATTACTTTGAATCAGATGTAGCACAGCTATTGTGGAAGTAGAGGAAGCATCAGCTTAGTAGCAGCTGGTTGAAAATCAGGACGGGATAAAAGTTAAGGGGGAGCTATTGTAAGTATTAGAAATGTGAGATCTCACCTGGTGCAATGATCAATGCACTGGAAATCAGCACTTCCACAACAAAAGTAATAAGTAACTTCTTCGAAAAGCTGTTGGAGGGGTTTAAGAAACTCAGTTGCTGTTTCTTTTTTTGCTCTGTTTAGAAGTAGCAAGTTATGAACACATTCAACCACTTAAAAATGAGTATGCTGATGGCTTCCATTTCAGTTGGTGTTGGTATATTGGAAATCAGAAGCTGGCATCCAGCTTCAGGTTTTGAAAAGGCTTTTTCCTACGGAGTATGAAGTGCTCACACTAAATACAGCATTATGCCAAGTGTAACACTTCATACATCTTTCTGGTTAGTAATATTTGCGATTTCATTATCTAATATTGGTCATGTAAATGCTGTAGACCCACTTAACTGAGGAAACAACCTGAAAGTTGCTGTGTATTCTTGTTTAGCATTTCATACTCTGTTCTTAAAGTTCTTGGTTGTAAAACTATCCTTAATGTGGAGATATATTTGAAGGGGAAGAGACATAAAAATGATTTAAAATGAGAATTACATGTCAACCTACTCTTTTAAGCAGAAGATGTGTTACCTAGATTTTAATGAGAGAGTGAGTTGTTTCTGGTAAGCATGACATACATTATAAGGTATGTAGGCATTAAAAGATGCAGAGTGACTGACGGTGATTAGATCTTTTCCATCTGGTAGGATGAGTAGCAACTGTATATCCTTAGTAGTTACGAAGTTATATATTATGGTTGAAACCATCACTCTGAGAGAAACAGTACCTTGTGTTGCTTTAAGTAGACAGTTGTCTCCAAAAGTATTTTCAGCTTCTCTCTGAAAGAACTAACCTGTCTTGTCTCATAAGACAGTCCATGGACCTGCTGCGATATCAAACACGTCTCTAGGATTCTGCTAGAAGAGCAGTTTAAAAGTAGCATGGCCAATCTCTGCAGGATCACCAGCTTTAGCACAGTGAGGAAGAGGCTTTTTAAGCACCTTAACTTTTTCATTAATGGGGTGAGAAGCAGTCATGGCTAACATCCAGAATTCTCTCTATTCATAGTAGGCAATATTTTGAATAACTTCTGGACAGTACAAGGCAACTGAAGTTTTGCTTCTGTGGTGGGCTCAGTGAAGTGCATGCTGCATTATTGTAGATTTGGATTTAACATGAAGGCCTTTGCTTGTGCCACCCAGAAGTAAAGAGCATCAAGTTAGTCCCCATCATATTGGGGCATTCCCACCATGACTCTTGGGAGAACAGGAAAGCTACAATCATACTAGTTGCCTGTGTTTCAAATGGGCATTGAAAGAAAATTGGTTCTATTCTAATCTGTTTGTTCTCGTGGATGTTTAAACAACTAATGGAAGCAAAGGAAGAAGTGACAAGCTTTTCTTTTAACTTTTCATTTTTCAAAATATCTCTTGCCTCAGCAACAGAAGAACCTTGAAGGATATGTGGGGTTTGCAAATCTTCCAAATCAAGTTTACCGCAAGTCTGTGAAGAGAGGATTTGAATTCACGCTCATGGTAGTAGGTAAGTTTGTTTTGAGCGGAGAATGCTAAAAGTATATTGACAGAATCTGGGATGCTGATACGAATGTATTTTGTATGGTCTTATGAAAAAATGTGGATCTTGCCTTCTAGACTGTTAAATCTAGATTGGTTGAAAAGAATGTGTTGTCCAGTGTGCAAGTAGATGAGGAGAATAAAGAAGAAGAACTGTAACGTTCATATAGTCTAAGGAAAATGTGGTGTGGATCTAGTCTAAAATGTGACTTGCAAGTATGACAGAAGTAATTTGAACTTGAATTTTCACTTGAAGAAAACAATTGAACTCCTTTTACAGTTGAGTGCAACAAGGCAAACTGGTGTCCAAAAGTAACATTGGAATCTTCCCTTGTACATAACCGGGCAGCAGGATCCCATATGTCCTGCTCTTCTGTGGCCACAAAACTGTGCTACATAATCAAAGCTTTAATTTAAACAAACCTTCCTAGTTTGTCTGGTTGTAAAGAAAACCAAATGTAAACAGTGTGTTCCCTATGGACTACAGAGAGTGGGAAACTCTTGTTAGGATGGATAATGCCATGCAGAACAGTTCATTTAGGCTTCAGTGATGACCCAAATTGACCACTGTCCTAGACTGCCTTTTCTGCCCCCTTATTGGAGTACTTGTACAATAGTAGACTTAACAAGGTTGGGTACGTTTGTATGTCACTGATACGTACATATGTGACCTGGTTTTGACATACAGTGATTAAAATAATAGCAAATGTTTTACAATAGCCAGCTGGCTCTTTGGAGATGTCCACCTTTATCTTTTGTAATTTGATTAGCTTGAGAATGCTTTGGTTTGCCATTGGCACAATGGATGTCTTGTGCAGTCATTACGTACATGTAGCTTGTAACATAATCATACCAGTGATGGAGCTAGAAATCAAGGTCAAATTGATGAAAATTCATTGCAGGTCACTTCAGTTTTCTTTAGATTACAAAGTGAACTAGAATTTTAGAATCCGAGGGTTGCTTTTTTCTTTTGGGGCTTGATTACAGGTCCTTTGTAATCCAGAATCCAAGTACCTACTTCATGATTCAGTATAAACCTGTGTAACCTTAAATAAAATGCAATTTTCTGCTACCTACGGGGAAAAAGGGAGGAGGGAGGGAGGGAGGGAACTGTCTTCATACAGTATTATTCCACAGTGGGGTATAATTTGTACTTCCAAGTTTCATTCTCACAAAACCCAAGTCACTTAAAGCAGAAGTAGTAGATGTAGGGATGTATTAGAACTGGAGGAAGTGTGTGACATTACCTTGGTGTTCTTACGTTTGCCTGTAGTACAGCCTAGTGCAATTGCACATAGGAGAAAATGGAGACTGTCGAGGAGAAAAGTGGGTCCAAAATTAGATTAAAAATGAGTTGTTGATCAGATTTTGTTACCAGTTTTAATACTTACTACTAAGACTTAATACATTTGTATGGGAATTTGTATCCTTGTCTAGAAATTACTGGGGGGATTTGCAGTAGTTTTCTAAATTAAAAATGCATCTAATTGTCTCCTTCCACTCCCCAAGTATGGAAATCAGATACTTGAAAGTGAGTATTTAACCAAATGGTGGCTGATCTTTTTAGTACTGTAACATCTGGAGAGGGATGAGAGGGAGAAATGTTTTTATTTACAAGTGATGTGTTTGTTAATAGTATGCCCTGAAACAATATGTCTGTTTTAAATAAGAAGATGAAATAGTTTGTATATTACTGATCACTGCTTGGTAAATACTGTAATGTAATGTGCAATTAGAATTGTAACTGTTGCTGTGTTCATCTTTGGAGATGGTGTACTTTGACTTGGGTTGAGGTCTTTGGCTGACACTGTGAATAGAGTTCTGCAATTGTAAATTGAAGTATCTGTAATCTAGTTATTAAAACTTCAAACTTCAGAATGTGATGATAGTCTGTATATGGTGAGAGCTGGCTGGCTAAGAATACAGTATGTATCATCACTTGGAGATAATCTCAAGTATTCCCTTGCTCGTTCTACTACTAAGAGGCGTGCATGCACGGCTGCCTCTTGCTGCACAGTCCTAGTTTGCTACCTATGCTTTATTTATAGGCACCTGCTTGTTCTGAAATGAAAAACAATGCTTGTAGTTGCTAAACAGGTACAAGGAAGAAAACAAATCACATTTGGGATCTGGGATCTCTGCCCAGCTATTTTCAGGCATCTGTGAGGCTTGATATTGCAGCTATGCATTCATATAGAAGCTGTTTTCCAGTTGTCCATTTAGTCTGGAATTAGCAGTTAAACTTAATAGATGTACATAGCATGATACCTGGCTTCTTGGTCTTGAAACACATAGTATAAAAAGTCAACAGATCAGCCTGTTGGGAGGGACTTGGCAGTGCAGCTGTAGTGACTGCTGTAAAAACAACTCGGTTTCCAGTTTAACTCTGTGATATTTGTCTCTGAGGAAGCAGTAAGTACAGCATCCGACAGCTCTGACATTGTTTCCAGTCAGCATTTTTGCAGGGAGATGGGTCAGTTTTACAGTACTCAATAAAATACTTATTCCCCAGGCTGTTGAGTTACTGTCATTGCCCTGGAGCTGATGGGGCTGTTGACAGCAGTGTATGGTGGCTTCCTGCCTTCTCTTGTGCCACTGAAGTTGGCGAGAGGGCTTTTAGATTTGGGTGTGCGTAAGGCCAAGTAGTTGTTGAATAGCCTAGACCAGGTTCAGGGTACAGGGGCTCCTTCTCTGAGCTGGCTGGGGGCATTGATTTAGAAGTGGCTCTTTTCAGCCATGTGGGGCTTGCTGTTGAAGGCAGAGCTCAGCAAGGTTGCTTTGTTTGAGGCTTACTGCTTGTGAAGTCTTCTCTGTAAATAGAGGTGCTGATTTCCAGGTGTTCTGGTATTTACATTAAATGTAACGGGTGAAGTATTTATGAACCACACACATATAAATATAAAAAGTTGATGTTAAAATACCCTTTTTACATTTAATGTTTTAAGAACCATTGAAAAGTTAACCTTTATAGAGTAACTGGGGTCACTCCGTAATGCTAAAGCCATGATAAACATTTTAACCTTTCTATCTCATGAACTGTATTTGTTTCCTCTAGGTTGTATGGTTCCTTTTGGTAGTATTTATAAACTTCCCGTAAGAACCTAAAGACCTGAGATAACCCTTTATTTTCCTTATTGATCAGTTGTCACTGGCCATCAGTTTGTCTTTAAAAGCTGCTTTCAGACAATGATTTTTGTATGACTCCTATTCCAAAAGGCTCTGTTGTTGAAACCACGATCCTCCTGAAGTGACTTGGTTTTGTAGAATAAAAACTAACAAGCGCCTCCTCCAAGGATAACATATAAAGTAGGCAGAAATACCTGTTAAACTGAGCTTCATTCTTGATGCTTTCAAAAGAAGACTTTTAAATCCTGGTTTAAAGCAACCTATTCTCCCGTCTGAAATACAAAAGCTCACCAGTGGGAAAAAAGAAGTCAAGTTGGCCTTGGTAGGCTGCTTCCTTCATAACCTTCTGTAATCCCTTCAAGTATAAGGTAGTTGTTAAAACACTTGAGAACCCGGCATAAATATTTGGTCTGTTTGAAATCCAGTGGGTATTCTCTGGATATCTGTGCTGTAGAGGCTTTTTGGAGAAAATTCCATGCTGAAGTCAGATGCTTAAGGAAAGAGAACTTCCAGCAGTAATACTACCACGGTTAGTAGCTCATAGTTAAGGAAAAGCTTAATTGTGACATTGTGGTTCTGTCTGTTTATTAATGTAATTACACTTGCTGAAGTAGTGGGTGTGTTTTTCTCTTTGTTTCAGCGTGATAAGGTGTGGGACAAACAGAGTTGCTTTTCAGCGTGTCTCTTTTCCAAACGCTGAATCAGGAAATCCCTCTTTTGTCCTTGTATTGGAATGACGCTGGTTCGTGGGATTTGAACCAACACCCAAGTGGATGCAAAGCCATCGTTTCTACAAATTCTTTTCTCCTATAGACCTTATGTACTTAAAAATAACTATTTAGTGTGGCTTTTCCTAGAGCTGTGTACTTTAAGGAGTTCAGGTTTCATGAGCTTTCTCAGAGATTGGACTCTTAAAGTTTATGTATTTATTTGTTTTAAAACCATCTGGTTTGCCAAGTGCAGAACATTTGTAGTCAAGTGACTTTCTAGAGGACCTTCCCCCCCAGCTCCTATTTATGAGCAACTATTTGGTAGCTTTGACTCTGAAAAAGCTGTTTTGAAACCTCTCCTGTAGTAAATTGTCTGGTTTGTTTTCTAATTGTTGCTTTAGCCTTGTAGATCACCTGTAGATTACAACTTAAAGCAAAAACCTCATGCTTTAGTATTGTCACAGTGTTTTCATTTGTAATTATACAGGCACTCCAGTGTTTTGGCCAAACATGGCTGTTTGGCATGGACGCCAAGGAGAGGGCTGTATTTTGCAAGATTTGGAAGTTACATTAAGCAAAAAGCACATTCTGATTTGAAAATGCTTTTATTCTTCACTGAAAAAAACCTGGACTGGTTTAATACTGGTGTCTCCTGGTGATGGGATCATGTTCTGATTTAGAATCACCCCTTTCGTTTGCTTACTTTCTGGAGCAGTTTTTATCAAGCCAGCCAGTGGTACCAAGAGCCTCAGATGCTCTCAGCTACTTGTTCTTTGCTAGTCTGATATCCTTCCTGCAATTTTAAAGGCAGGAACAAAACCATGAAGCCTATGGCAGCATAGGAAGAATAACTAAGGGAAAAATAACTTGTGGATGGGCAGGACAGTTTAGAAGAAACTCTTTGGGGATGTTCCCACTTCTTGCTGACCTGCTGTGGTCTGAAATCTTATTTAGTGCAAGGTCCTGCACCTGGGTCAGGGCAATCCCAAACACAACTACAGGCTAGAGAATGGGTTGAGAGCAGCCCTGAGGAGGAGGTGGGGGTATTGGGTAATGAGAAGCTCCCCATGACCCAGCTTCAGTGTGCACTTGTAGCCCAGTAACCACCTGCATCCTGGGCTGCACCCCAGAG